AGACAGTTGGAAATATAAGTGCTGAGAGATGAATTATAAACTCGCATAGAGGCACATAAACATTCTACATACAGTACATACATACATACATACTACATACTACATACATACATACATACATACCATACATACATACATACATACATACATACGATACTACATACAGTCCACATACATAACATACATACATACAACATACATACATACATACATACATACATACAGACATACATACATACGACATACATACATACATACATAAATACGTACGTACAATACGTACGTACATACGTACGTACGTACATACGGAGTACGTACGTACATACATACATACATACATACATACATACATACATACATACATACATACATACATACATACATACATACATACATACATACATACATACATACATACAGACATACTCGACATACAGACATACTAATACATTACATACATACATACATACATACATACAGAACATACATACATCCAGCCATAGCATACCACAACATCCACCCAGCCAGCCATGTCTCAGCCCAGCCATCACAGCCATCCAGCCAGACATCCAGACAGCCACTACACCATACATACATACATACATACATACATACATACAGACATACAGACATACATACATACATACATACATACATACATACATACATACATACATACATACAGACACACATACATACTATATACATACATACATACTACACACACATACATACATACATACATACATACATACATACACACATACAGACATACATAACATACATACATCATACATACATACATACATACATACATTACATACATACATACATACATACATACATACATACTACCAGACATACATACATACATACTACATGACATACATACTACATACACGACAGACATACACACGTACGTACGTACGTACGTACGTACGTACGGTACGTACGTACGTGCGTACGTACGTACACAACATACATACATACCTACATACATACATACGTACATACATACATACATACGAGACATAGACATACATACATACACTACATACATACATACATACATACATGACATACATACATACATACATACAGACATACAGACATACCTACAGACATGACATACATACATAACATACATACAGACATACATACACACATACATACAGACATACATACATACATACATACAGGACATACATAGCATACATACATACATACATACATCCATACATACATACATACATACATACATACATACATACATACATACATACATACATACATACATACATACATACATACATACACACACACACACACCACACACATACATATATACAGACATACATACATACATACATACATACATACATACATGCAAGCATACATACATGCCAGGCATGCATGCATGCATGCATGACATACATACATACATACATACATACATACATACATACATACATACCGACAGACCATACATACAGACCTAGCATACATACAGACATACATACATACAGCACATACCATACATACATACATACATATATACATACATACATACATACATACATACATACCATACAGTACATACATACATACATACGTACATACATAACATACATACATACATACATAAATACATACATACATACATAAATAATACATACATACATACATACATACATACATACATACATACATACATACATACCATACATACATACATACATACATACATACATACATACATACATACATACATACATACAGGCAGGCAGGCAGACAGACAGACAGACTGACAGACAGACAGTTAGACCCTGAAGTAGGCTAATACAAATTATAATAAAGAAAAGTCTGAGATAATATATCCAAACTAGTTTTAATAATATTAGAAAATTACTAGGAAGAAAATAAAAATCTAAAAATAGAAAAGTGCTTAAAAATTTATTGAAACAAAATTTTATTTATTTGAAAAAAAATTGCTTTTGTAGCCATTGCAGATTCTAAGACCCTCAGCTGAAGCGTCTGTGGCTTATACCTGAATCCAGCCATGTTTCTGATATACTGTAGAGGACATACACCTAAAACATATGATATCTTTTAATCAGGTTTTTGATTCTATATCATTCGCCTCGATAACTTTAGAAGGAATTATTTAATTCATCGTACGTTCAGACAGACAGACAAGCAGACGTACAGTCAGACAGACAAACAGAGACGTATACTGACAGCCAGGCAGACGACAGGCAGACATATGTACGTACGTATGTTATGGCTCCGATTACGTGACCCCCGTGAGGAGACTGGTTCCCTTACCTAGATATCCTAACAAACGATGGAATGACAAACTTTACTTTCAAAGTGTCACTGACCTTCGACCCTTCCAGTCACTCGTATTTCACATAGCACTTGTGATTTCTATGACGCAGGGCCTTGCAATTTACAAAGTATGTGCATTATACATAAGCACAAAGACATGGATGACAAAAACACAGATTCATATATGCATTTAGCTTGCCTTGCAGTGGAAACTGTAGTGTAAAAGAGATCATTTCCGGCCGATAGCCTTCTGACCGCTAAATTTGTGAAAAACTACTTTCAGCTAAGTTTTTCTGATGCAATGTTCCTACTTTTGGACCAGCAGTCCAAACGTTCCCGTTTATTGAGCTGAGTGCTTGGTGCGACAATGTGAGCTGTGAATTTAATGTGGAAATTTTTTTTTATGGTGTGCCGCAGCGGTTTGTTGACTGCAACTAAATGGCGAGTGGCCGACTGCATTCAAAATAGGATGAACGTTTGTGAATGCAATGCCGGATTTGGTTACTGACCGTCTTTGCCAAGAGTGAGCTCTAATTCTGGCGTGTGGCCGTCAATGTTGGCACATCTGGCAGCTGCCTTATATATTTTTATTTGAGTTTCCGTGTCCTGGCTTTAAGATTTGCAAAGACTTTCAAGTTTCTCACTAGTCTTAAAATTGGACAGTGAAGGACAGTTTGTATGATTTCCACCGGCTCAGTGACGTAGCAGTTAGGGGCAGACAAGTCTGCATTGACGAGGGAACCTCGACTAATGACCGGGAGTTATGTTTTATCTCCCCTGTCATTTGGGATTAATGTTCGATTGAATAGTGAACAAATATTGTCATAATAAATACTAAAAAGAGACAATCTATATTCTTTGGTCATGTGATGAATAGGAACAAACTGGAGTACGTCGTGATAGTAGGAAAGTTGAAGTGGAGAAGAGGTAGAGGAAGATCGAGAGAAAAGATGCTGAACGGTTTGACAACATGGCATGGAGGATCATCTGTGTCAGAGTAGACTGAAAGTACATGAGACAGAAGGTTGCTGATAGATATGACTACCAACCCCACAAGGCATGGACGTTAAGGAGAAGAAATGCTGGTATTGACTCAGATATAGAAAACAAAACTGGAGTATGTAGAATTTTTTAGATCAGGGGATATCATTCTGTAGATTAGGGACAGCAATGACATGTAAAGAAAAAACATATGAGTTAGCAAACATAGTATCGTACGTCGGATTCCAATTCAGCCATGAAAGAAAAAATACATGAAGACACCAGTAAAACAGGTTTCTGAAACATGTCCCCGGGGGATCCTCTTTCGAATGGTGGCACTTTTCGAGACCAGGTGTATCGCTCGGTGTGAGTTCTGGTGGGGCTTGAACGTCAGACAGTCAGACACCAGTAACAGATCTTGGAGAAGACACTGAAGTCTGTAGTATCAAAGTAACTAATCGGGGTACTGTTTGAGGTTGCACTTTTCGATTCCCAAGGAAACACGCAGAAAGAATTATAATGCGCATTGACTAAACAACGTCAGCCTTTACAAGTCTGAACAAGATAAGGAACTCTAAATTATACAGTTTTAATTTAATTACAATGTTGTATCAGTTTTAGAATATGCTAATACAAGTTGGACATCCACTATGAAAATACAAAGAAAGTTGAATGAATAAGAAAACAAACGCCTAAGCCTTTGATCAACTTGAATGCCGTGAATTGAAGAAAGCAAAGAAATGAGAGAAAAGTCTGTGCAACTTCTTATATCAACAATTATAAGACAAAGACATCTTGAAAAAGTACATCTTGATGCGTAACGAATCACAAGATAGGTACTGAAGTGGGAAACACGTATATTTAGAAGGCACTGACGTCTAAATGAAACCCTAAGACGAACGATGATGAGAAAGGCCAAAGATGCTGGATGGATTCCATCCATGATCTTAAAACAAAACATGATAGCGCAGTTTAGAAGATAAATTGCCAATCCTATGTGATATATTGCCACACAAAAGGATAATGATGAAAATGTTATACTCGCAATGAGAATAAGGCGTTTACAAACCAAATGGAGCAAATAAAACAAAGTTATTAACTCTTTTCTCAAAACATACAATTCGAATTCGAGGGTATCAGATTTATTTCTCCTCGTTTATCTCATATAGCTCTGTCTGCTCTGCAGAGTGGATGTTCTTCCACAAGAGCGTCACACAAAGTAAGAACTCTTAAACTCCAGCAAAGACTCCAATGCTCTCCGGATTACATGCACTCGAAAACCAAAGAAGAGAGTCCGAAACCTGTTCCTTTCAGAGGACGAGGCAAACGCCTCAACCACTTCGATACAGAGATAAACACTCCTCCCCTGTACTTCCCTCAAACACACACACAAACACACAGACACACACCCACACACTTACACTGTTATAAAATTTCTTTAATTACATTCAATTTTCATTTGTGAGTCGAGAACAGGGGATATTCCCCCAGTACTTGCACACTTGCTCCAACCGGTCTTCCATACTTCGTCAACACTTGTTATATCTCCAAGACCACTATTGAAATACCTTGCTTCGTTTCCATTTCCGCTATAAAAATATGTGTTATTATTTACAGCAATAGGATTGTTGACACGAAAATAACTGAGAAATTGGAGATCTTGTTGCTGCTCTTCTGTCGAAGACGAGACA